CGAAATATTGTTCTTTTTTGTGGAATAAAAATTTAATTTTATTGAATTATATCGCGCGCGTGCGTGTTATATTACGCGCAAAATTAATACATGATGTTTCTGTTATGACGGTATTTACGATTTTTTTAACTAACAACAGTTTGACAACAAATTATGAAATGACTTGATGAGACTTTAATGGGGTTTTAATTTTATAACAATAAAAAAAATAATGAAACTTTTCTCCTTAAAAAAGATCGCAGTGAATTTTTTAAACAATTATGTTTAGGTAAATACAATTTCATCACTCATCCAAATGAAAATGTTAAGGGGTACGATTATGAAAAAAAATGAAGTATAAGTAAGGTTTTCACATCTTATTCTGAAAATTTCTAACCAAATGTGAAACGTAAAGTCTTCATCTTTCAATTATTTTATCTTAATACTTTTACATTGAACAAAACGAATTAATTCGAGTTAAGATGTAATGTATTTATAATGCAATTTATATAATATGAAAACGTACATTAAAAATATAGAATCAATCTCTTTTTAGACGAGACGCATCGTTTTCTAGAAAAACAATTTTGTAAATTCGTCAAATACACTCACCACATATTCGTGCATACACATATATATTCTCATATATATATATAATATACAAGTTCAATACTATAATAAGACCACAAAAGAAGGAGAATAGATGAAATAGGTCATTTTGCGGTTATATCGGCGATTCATTATTTATTTAAACTTGAACTGCAGTTCTGATTTCTCTGACGACGAGCTCGACCGCGCAACTGAGAATTCACGCACGTAGAAAACGACAGCGACGCGAAAGACGAATGAAACGATGACCTTGCAGGGACGAGCGTTGCACGTATTATCGAAACGTAAGAATGTGCCGTTCGAGGACTTTAAATTGTCGCAATTAAACACGGCTCGTTTCGTATTCATGTTCTTGGAGTATCTCGCACTTGCGGAAATTACGGGAATCAATTATGCATAATGGTGTTCGAATCGAACGTATTTCCGGTGGGGACTCGCTTATCCTCCCCGTTTCTCCCCCTCCCACCCCTCTTAGGTACGACACGCCGCCCTTCTCACTTGCACCATTACGTTAATCGCTAAAACGCATCCTTGTGTGTTTTTTTTTCTCTCCGCTGCACGGAACTGTCCATCTACTCTGTCCCTCTCGCTGCACGCAACTATCTCTGTCCCTCCCGCTTGCGTAGATTATAGTTAACGTTTACATCGCCCAAGTAGCAATAAACGTCGCTCGTAGCGTTACAGATGGTGAAAACTTTCCTTCCATTTGTTTTCCCCTGCGCTTCGACCTATCGACGCGACTGTATGCATTATTTGTAAGTGTCTCTCCCTTGTTGCATTAACGACTGATTTGTACCTCGATTCATTATGTAAACATCGCGATCGATAAGAGAGAGAAAGAGAGTGGGAGAGCAGCATTTTGCGTACGATTTTTCCCTCTCTGCTTCTGCCTAGAATTCGGATCTATCTAAATGCGCGCCTTGCGTGCCGGCGAGCTGTTGAAAAGGAGCGCTTATTCGGATGTTTGTTAATTCACAGAACTGATCATCTTTCGGTTTAATTGTCGGTACCCCCACCGCCCTCCTGCAAGAGCGGAAGTCTTTACTTCAGAAATGAAAATTTCTCGGGATAATCAAATTAAGTCAATCGCATTAACATATAAAATAATTAAAGCAGGCAGCGTAATGAACTTTTTCCCTTAGTACACTACACTACCTGCTTTAATTACTTAATATGTTAATGCGGTGAGCTAAATACCTTGAAAAATTTTCACTTCTAAAGTTAAGACTTTCCTTCTTGGGAAGGCAACCTGGCGTTTCGCAGAGGAAACTCTTGAGAGACAATGAAGCCGAAGCGTACGAGGGACTTTAAACATCGAAGCAACCTTCCGCGTCATTGTTGCCACAGTTATTGATACTCTGGGATCATTGCAGTTTGCGACGATAAGATTAAACGTCGATACTCGTTCTATTTCAGTTTGGACTTCTCATTCGATTTGAATCTCGAATCGCACGAATTTACTATCGTCCGATCAACTGATGACGGGCGATTCTAAAATATTGTTCTTACAATATTGGTAATGATAAGATTTCAATAGCATTTTAGGAATAACGGGTGACTAGCCATCTATAGAGTACACATGGAGGTTAACTCGTAATAAAGTTCATTCATTGATCGGCTGTCTCATAAAGAGGAAACTTCACTGCTTCTGATTGCGCTAATCTCGTTTTATTCGAATTTATCGGTTAATCACACGATTTATCTAAAATATTTAGCATCATATTTTGAGTTTGACACGTACGTCATTTTACTATATTCGTCATTTTACGTCATTTACCTATATTCGAGAAATAGGAATAAGTTCTCCATATACATTTCCTGTGAATAGAATTAGCCAGCGAGTTCTAAAATTTCCCCCGAAATATCGTCCAGCGAAACTAAATAACGTGTCCTGGGTACCTATCATGGCAAAGCTTCGGAACTGATCGGTATTGTTCAATTATTCCCCAGATTTCTATTGTGTTTTCTAGGGAAAACGGCATAATTCCGATCGGAATCCATTCCGAACATTTCCACGATAGGTACACTGATAAAAAAAATACTACTTTACTCAAGAAAATTATTTATTAGATGGCTCCTAATAGCTTATTGATTTAAATTTAAAAAATAATAAACAAATTGAAACATGCATTGCTTTAAGTATTTATTAAATATCGAAGAATAGATAATTTTAAATTAAAAAAGATTTATTTTAATTCTATAAAATGTTTACCAAGATGTAATTTTCTCAGCGAAGAAAATTGAGTTTCTTATTGAACAAAAACAATTATTTCATTTAATAAATAATACTCTATATTTCACGAAATCTTCATTTGAATGTAGAAAATGTAATGATTTAAATTAATTTACTGAATATAATACATAGATTTACTTGAAATTAGACATTTTTACTTAAATAGAATAAATATTTACTTCAGTAAAAAAATTTTTAAGTAAATCTATTTACTTAGTTTAATGAATAAAATCTCTATTTGAATGTAGAAAATGTAATGATTTAAATTAATTTACTGAATATAGTACATAGATTTACTTGAAATTTGATATTTTTAGTCATATTCACTCGCATAACATATAATGACTATCCTCTCAACACCAACGTAACACATGTGATTTTATACACAAGATTACCACAGTTACGATCACTTGAAAAGGACCAAAACCCATGGTCGAAACGTCTACATATTATACCATTAAAATTGCCAGATATGGTCAACCAATTTTGATGTTTTTGATATTTTTACTTAAATAGGATAAATATTTACTTAGTTTAAAAAAATATGCAGTGCAAAGTCGTCTCGCGAAAAATCGTCGCTTGCCAAAGTGCCCCGCACAAATTTCACGGATCTTCAGGCTCTCTTGCGGTGCGATACAAGCAACGTTGTACGTTAAGACCGTTTCCACAATGGTCGGCAAAGCCGATCGCAGACGTAATTTTCGACCAGCTGTCGCGACAATCGTCGCGTCCGCTCGCGATCGGCTTTGCGACTAATGTGAAACGATCGTCGGAGAACGCTGCTTCGTCTTTTCGACGCGTTTTATAAAAGTAGTCGTTAATCAAGGATCCGCGAGCGTTATTTACGACGCGCGCGACATTTCCGGAAATTAGCGGCGTAAATATTCGCATTGTGCGACTCTGCCAACGTCCCGCTCGGTTTATTGAATGCGATTTACACGCGGCACGTACGGCCGCCCCTTCGCCACGAGCACCTCGCCATTACCCCAGTATTGGTAAAAATAAACGATCTCGCGGCGATCAGAAATCGTTATTTCTCGAATAAAATATCTACCCGAACGACATTACGCACTCCATTACGCACAGTCGGAACTGCTCGCAGTAATGATCCCCGATATCTTCGCATAATTTTAATTCTTACATCGCGCAACAGAAAATTATTTCACCGCAATGAATACGGAGGACAATGTCGACTTTCGCTCTCAACCCTTACACGACCGCGCAAGTCCCATTTACATTTCTTGCCCCTCTGATCGCCTCTCGGGACGCTGGTGTCCCACTCGAAAGGAAATAAAATTCGGTCGTGAAAGGGTCAGCGCGATTGATATTCGTATTTGAAACGGAGCTGGGAGTATAATGAATTTTCGTGGAGTCTGTCAGAAACTGTCGTGAAATGCAGATCGGGGCGACTCTGCATTTAGATGTAAGGGCGGTTACCGGGAAATGTTGCGCGACGTCGCATATGAGATATACATATTTTAACGGCCGGCCGCGACGCTACGCTAAGGACGAGCGAGGGAAAACTGAGGCTTTAGCGGGGATGATTAGGGCGATGTTCCGGCGCGGCGAAAGGATCATCCCCGAATGTTACGAGCGTGGCGCGTGTAAACGTCGACGAGCCCGATTTGGTCGCGCGAGTCCGTTCACTCTGACGATCGATAGCCCGTATTTTTGAATCGTTCTCAGTCGAAACGTATTCCTCCCCCCCACCGATAATGCTTTCGGATGAGCGCGACTTATCGCGAGATATTTTGCTCGCCGCGACACGTACATTTCTTTCCGGCCGGATTGATTATTCGACGCGGATATTCAAAACCTTATCGCGAGAGGCGCTCGCGAAGGACGTGCTAATTCCCGTTCGAAATCGGGGTGGGGGGGGGGGATCTCGGTCGATTCCAGTCGAGCGGGAATCGACGGGAAGCTCTCTTCAGGAAATAAACACGACACGATCGAACGAGTTTCCATGGCGAAAAATATCGAAATATCGCGCGGGGCGCGATATCTGCTACCGCCGGCCAGCCCGGACGTTCCCTCTGCCCGCTCGTCGTCTCGCGTTACGAAATGTCAAGTCTGGGGGAGGGGTTAGAGAGACGGAAAGAGAGAGAGAGAAGGAGAGAGAGATCCGTCGCATCCGTTCGGAATCCTCCCCGACCAGATAACATTTAAATACCCTCGCCAGGTTCTTCTCGGTGCACGTCGATCGGTTCGGCCAGTGATCTTGCGAGAGAGGTGAGAAGACAGCTGGCTGGCTGCGCCCAGCGTCGCGCGCGCGCGCGCGCTCACGCCAGGAAGGAACCTCCTCGTGTCAGAAGCGTGAGGACGACGACGACGACGACGACGACGACGACAACAACGGCGAGGAGGAGGAGAAGGCGCAGGAGGGGGAAGGGAAATACCGCCGGACGAGAGAGCAAGTGACAAAGGGGAGAGAGAAAGCGGGAGGACAGGCTCGAGCGAGAGTAAAGAAGGACAGACGGAGGATGAATGGCCCCGGGAGTCATCAGCACCGCGGCTTGGGCATGCAGGGACGTTACAGAGCCGCGGTGACCAATGGCGCCCCGACGGGGCCGCACGCGCGCACCCCCGCGTCGTCTCATTCCCGCAATGGTGGATGGCACCCCCACGGTCTGCATCAGCAGCAGCACCAGCCTCCGCAGCAGCAGCAGCAGCAGCAGCAGCAGCAGCAACAGCAGCAGCAGCAGCAACAGCAGCAGCAACAGCAGCAGCAGCAGCAATTCGCCGCCGGCAGCAAGGAATACCCGTACCGGCAGTGCCCACCACGATATCACAATGGGTATATTAACGAACCCCCTCCCCCCCCTCGCCCTCGCCCCCCGCCCCCCGCGCATTTGCGGCCGCCGCGCTCTTGTGAATACACGCGAATTTTCGTATGGCGTGCGTGCTCCAAGTGCACGGCACGGGAGAGGAGAACCGCGGGGACTCGGGCGAGACACATACCCACCGTGACGAGAATATTTTTGTGGAGCTGCCGGCGAATCCAATTTTTTTTCCCCCTCGCGGAGACGCTTCTGTTGTAACGGAACGCTTCGTGACGGCGGGGTAATACTTCCCCCCGACGTGTACCGTCCATTTTTTTTTTAATGTCGTTCCCACGTATGCCGATACCTTTTACATCTCGACCGGAGTCGTTGACTGGAGAGCGAACGATAACGTTTGTTACTAGAGGACAAATTCGATTTCTTGGCGATGTATATGCGTGTGCTCCGTAAGGCGAGATCGTTCCGCGATGACGGAGAACTCGCGCGCCTCGTAAATGCGTGGGATGTACCGGAGGTGGGGTCGGATATTTGTGCTGTACGTCGATTTTTAAACCGACCCTTGTCGAATGAGAAATTCAACGGGACAGAAAATACGGGCACTTCCGCTTTAATTGAAACTTTGCTCCGCTCCGCTTTATTTAAAAAAATTTACTTTGGAAAATACGATGAATTTATCACGAAAACTGCATGCAGCCGTGCGTGTCGGTAAATTTGTAAACGCATTGGTAAATTGATAATTTCGGCGCCTCGATAGGTTTTTTTCTTGAAACAGATTTTCGTTAAACTCCTTCGGAAAACTTGGTCTCCGGAGATCTCGAATAAAAGTCACGCTGTTAATCCGTTCGACATTAAACGGCGAGAGGGAACTTGGCGATTTTACGTTTACTTCTCAAGTTTATATCTCGCGAAGGTAAATTGTGAATTGCCGGTGGCCGAAAGCCTCTCTCGTAAGACATTTCCGATGGGCGAGAAGAGCCATTGCATCACGTGGACGGAAGAAATTCCCCGACGGCGGGGAATAAGACGAATTTGGGACGCCCTGTACAATTTTCACGGACTTTCTACCAGCCGTAGAAAGTCCGGAGTAAATAGAATTCCGTTTATTCAGCGCCTGGAAAACGCTCTCGATCTCTATCAGATCGCTCAAAAGTCGACACGCGTTTCATTACGGGATGGATCGGGCTTTTCCCCCTCCCCCCCCCTCCTCTTTTTTTTCCCACGCGGCAAAAATTCTCCCATTATTCAGCGTGCATCTGTGCATAAACATCACGAACTTGGTGCGCGGCTTAGCGAAAGTGCCGCGCGAGACACACACATGTACACATATACATATTTTATTTGCGTCTTATTTAATACGCACGTTATGTAGAATGTATCAAATGCGCATTGTTTTTTATGATTTATTTATGAAACCAATTTTACAACTGAAACTAAACTGAGCATTGCATTCAGGCCGAGAGAGCTCGCGTGTATTTAATTTCCAGCGGAGCCGGCGTTGAAAAGTCGACGATTCTCTCTAATCAACGATAATCAACGGGCCCGCCGCGATGACGTGCCCGCGAGACGCGCTTTATTTCCGCGCTCTCGCACTTCGAAACCCTTTTCCACCGGTTCGCGCGCGCGCGCGCGGCGCCCACTTCTCGTTTATCTGCCTACCTTAATTTAAATCGGTTTATCGATTTTCCTCCTCGCTCCCTCTCTTTCTTCCCCTCCCCCCGTGCCGTCCGCGCGCATTTTCGTTCTATATTATGTATACAGGGTGGCCCTTAAGTACATTCCGAAAATTAAAGAGGTAGTTTCCTCAAATGGTTTCACGGAGAAAAGCTTATATACACTTTCGCCGCGGACGGTTTTTCGGAGATTCGGAGACGTTTAAGGGAAAAAATTAGATTTGTTTAAAGAAATTTCAGTTTCGAGGGAAGACGGTGCCAATTAGCCTCTTGAAATTTACTGTGCGATTAGAGAAGTAGCTAACGGGCTCGCTTTTGGCGATTGAATTCTGGTATAATGAATGGCGCGCGGAAGATTGTCGAGGTCGGGTTTTTGACAGAAAGAAATGATACGTCATTACGAAACAAAACCGTTTGTTTAATCCATAAGCGAAAAGCAGCGAGATTTGCGGTAAAAAAAGACTATATTGGTCATTATTTACGAACGTTCTCGTGATATAACTGCCCGTTGAACGCTTCGGGACGGAGACAAAAGTGTGTCTAAACTTTTCATAAAATCGTCTAAGGAATTGCTACTTTAATTTTCGTAACGTCCTTAAGAACCTCGGTACGTGTGCGTGTGGCGTCGTTGAATTCATTAGACGTGACTATTGTGTTTCCGTCGCACGTATGTAGATCTCACAACTTTGCAGGCTTACGAACGTTCAATTAGGATTTCCCGTTGGGTCTCTCGTGCGGGGTGTCCCGATACTCCGCCTTTGATCTTAAATAGAATTTGGAGACGATAGTAACTCCTTGGGGAATATTTCGGGCGAAGCCGCATTAAGTAGTCTTTTAATGCGATACAATGCTAAATTGACCTCCGAATTGAAAATCCGATAATGAAAGCTCGCGCAGAAATTTAAACGAACAGTTTCTCTGTTTGTTTGCACTTTACATATTTTACAGCATTTATACGTACACATAATTGAGATACGACCGTCTCGGCTCGATTTTATTTAAGGAAGACCCGATTCCAAGTAAACCGAACATTCTGTCATTAAAATTATAGAAGCCGTGGTTCTGTTTTGTATTCTGTATACACGGACTGCCACTGTGATACACAATCGGTCATTTTAACGGTAGATACTGTCGGATGTTAAAGAAGAAACTTGAAAGTATTTTCTAACTACGTTGATTATGTAAGTGGAGTGTTGAAGGTACTTGTGACTCGCTTAAAATGATCGCAGCACAATGCATTCGAATCCTCCTGCAAGTATCGAATTGGCTCATCGTAGGCGATTATTGTTTCGCGAATGAAAATCTAGAGAGAATCAACGCTGGAAATGTTATTTTCAACGCGACTTTTCGCCGCTCATATATATGTATATATCATTGAGAGAAAGTACAGTCGGTCAGCGGTATTCTGCATGCTAAAAACTGCAAGTTGCATGCAAAAAGACATTGCAAAACTGTTGGCTTGTGCGTTCGACTTGAATCACTATCGTGTCCTGTCTATATACAAATTCATGTTTCAAACTTCACGATTGCATGGTTTTGAGAGGTGCGACTCTGTTGAAAAGTTACACCGGTAAATGTAACTTCGCAGGGTAAATATTTGTGGTGTACCTGGAAAAAAAATATTGGCTGACACACAAATACGGGCGATGGACGGGATTATGCGAACACTCGGAAAATACGCCGCTTGTTTTATTAATAAGAGATTGCCATTTGACTTCGCACAGATTCTAATTTAGATTCTATTCTTGTTGGAGTCATGCAATGCTTGAATAGTCACCACAGCGCAATGTTGTGTCATTCTTCTAGTAGAATGTTGCAGAGGGAAATCTGCCTTTCATTCTGCTCTTCAGAACTGCTCGCAATGATGCGATGATATTTTAATCGCGCGATTGCGCTGGCTAGATGCATAGTACAACTAGTAGGTCCACCCCGTTATTTGTTTCGTTTTACGTCCATTTCCTTTGCGCATCCGACATTTTGTTGGTCTGGCCAACGAGAGGAAAGTTGTACGGTAGTGTAGTTTGATGAGTACACGTATGTACGTGTGTACAGTCTTATTCG